GATAACTTCACTTATAACAATTGTTTTTCTATAGATATTTCTGCATAGAAACTTTATCACTACTCCTTGTTAGTACTTACAAATTCTTATATCCTTGCTATTACAAAACCCGAACACAACCATGCACGAATGTCACAAAAACTGAACACAACCACGAATTTTACTTATCTTACCGTCGGAGGCGTGCGATCCAACAACTAGTATATATAAAAGTGGTAATTGTGCACGCTTTTAGCTAAAGGTGTGCATCGTGCCGGGCCGTGCCGTGCAACCCAAATTCGCACGCCAGCCCACGGCACGGCACGACCCATGTGCCAAGCGGGCTCGTGCCGGGCTGGCCTGCGTGCTAGCCTGTTGTGCTGGCCTGCTGCTGGCCTGGCGGGCTGCTGCTGGGCTGCCTTTCCTTTCTTCTTATTATAATTTTTTTTTTATTTTTTTATAATTTTTATTATTTATTAATAGTTTATAACTTATAATCTTATATTATTATTTTTCTAAAATAAATTAAGTTTAATATTTATATTTTATTATTTTTTATATTTAATATATATATTTATATATTTAGTTTATACTATTACTTTATAGTTTAATGTTTATAATTTATTATATTTATTTTTGTATTATTAATTATTAATTATTATATATAATTTTTTTTATATGAATTTACATATTATAACTTAACTGGAAAAAAAAGGCAAAATGGACTTTGGATGTGAATAATGCATACTTCATATTATTATTACTTGAAAAAATTGTACAATGATAATAATGATAAAAATCGTACAAGGATATTAAACAAAAATTGGATAATGATAAAAATCGTAAAATGATAATATTGATAATAAAAATCGTACAATATACAAAAATTGTCTATTCTTCTTCTTCTTCTTGGTCGTCTTCGTCTTCGGCTTCGGTTTCAAGGTCATCGGCTAGTTGCATAGATTGGGAACTAATCGAACTCGAACGATCGAAAGCGGAGGTTCCTTCATCGTTGTCGTTGTGTCGTAAGAACGGTATTGTGAGCGATTTTCCGCATCCAACCAATCTTTGAAACACACGCACATTTCAAGTGTTTCGGGTTTTAGACTTGTTCTTCTATCGTCTAAAACCCTCCCGGATGCGCTGAAAGCTCGTTCGGAGGCAACGGAGGAGACTTAGATATCAAGAATGTCTCGTGCCATTGCCGCCATAGTTGGATACTTCGTGCTTTGTTGTTTCCACCATGCAAGGAGGTCGAGGCTGTTTATCTCATCGTCGTCCATGCCCTTGGTGAAGTCGTAACTCAGGTACATTTGCAACTCCGAGACATCGCTTTGCGTTCTCCTTATTGATGAATCACCTGAAAACCTTGAAATCAAGTTAGTAGCTTGTGAAAATAAATGTTTGGCCTTCTTACTTACGTTTTTGGATGGTTGGGAAGGGCCTGAGCAAGGAACGGTGCCATATTTGGTTTCATAGACTCTATATAAAGCAAAAAACTAATCCTTCACACATCATCGTCAAGAAGCATGCATTGAAAATAAATGTCAACTAACATAAATGTATTTTCATACTTTTGTCTAGGATCTAATATGGAAGCAAAAATATAAATCAAAGGAATTTCAGTATAATATTTACGCCATTTTATTTCCATTGCTGAAAGATACTGATCATAATCACTTTGGTTGCGATGATCAGCGAAAAGTTGGGCGAGTAAACATGCATTTGAAAGAAAGTTTTGAGCACAAGGATTATAAACAGAAGAAAAACAATACGTCATGTTATATAATAACTGTAAAAATTGCATAAATCGTTCACATTTATCCCAATCATCCTCATATATAGCATTGTTTGGAAATTTTTTGGTTGTAAAAAATTGTCAACGGATTCTTGTACTCAATTGCCTTGGTTAACATGTCATAGGTGGAATTCCACCTAGTTGGGCAATCGGTTTTGATTTTTATTGTTCTTATCTTTTGTTGTCTTAGAAAACTCTTCCATTCTTGGTATCTCATGTTTGAGCTATTAATAGACATAATAGCATCTCTAATTTTGGTGTAGTATGGACCAATTGCTCTAATTCCATCATGTACACACAAGTTAAGAACACGACAAACACATCTAGTATGAAGTGCGTCACCATCTAATATTACATCGGTCAAGTTTTGTTTGACATAATTAGCGGTATATGTGATTGAGGTTGCATTGTCAAATGTCATAGACATGATTTTTTCTCGAATGTTGTATTCATTTATTGCTTCCATTAAATGGTGAGCAATGTTAATACCGGTGTGGGGGTATTCCAGCATTTTGAAATGGATTATTCGTTTTTCTAACAACCATCACTAGACGAAAAAGATAAAAAGACACCGGTTCAAACCCCCCCTTTGGCACCGGTTTTGAACCGTTGGGTATTTGAGGTATGCCAAATCCATGAAAATTAACTAAAGCATTTAGCACCGGTTAACCGGTGCTAACTACATGATTTGGCACCGGTTAACCGGTGCCAACTACCATGGCGCGATTTTTTTTATTTATTATCAATACTATTGGCACCGGTTCAAAGCAAGAACCGGTGCAAAAAACCCCACTTTTGGCACCGGTTCTGGTCCAAACCAGTGCCAAAAATACCTCAAAAAATAAAAAAAAAAAATTTTTTGCATTTTTTTTCACTTAAATTGATATAGAAACATTAATATATATATAAAGTTACATATTTTCATTAAAAAAGGCTGTAATATTACAATTTTCGTCCAAAAAAATTTAAATAATCCAGACTGCTCTGCTGTTTTTGTTCTGCTGCGCTGCTGTGCCTCTGCCTATTCATGCTGGCTGGGCATCTGTTTGCTTCTGTGGCTGTGTCTCTGTTATGTTCAGGCTGGCTGGGTGACTTGTTTGAGTTCTTGAGCTGCTGTGTTTCTGTTCTGCTCTGGTTAGGCTGTGCTCGATGTTTGCTGCTCTGCTGTAGTGCTTGGTGTTTGCTGCTCTGCTATAGTGCTGTGTTGCTTGCTGGTCAGGCTGCTGTGTTTGCTGGGTTCTGCTGCGTGGTCCTCTGTGTTGCGGTACTGGTGAGCTGCTGTGGTGCTATGCTGGTGGCGCTCTAATGTGCTCCTGTTTGCTGGGCTGTTTTCCTCATTATTGCTCTGATGTCCTAATGCAGTGAAGAAATAAACAATATAGGCAAGCTGATTCTTGTCACAAAGAATATCAACAACTTAAAATACCATGAGAATATAAGATATTGTAAAAAAAATAAAAAGAGTATACCTTCAGCAATATCATGAACTACTGCCATCTTGATACATCTGTGCAAAGCATTGTCAAAAGAAGATAATACAACTCATCAGCAAGGGAAATATCAATATGTCCAAAACAAGCATAATTGGTTAACATCCAACCTCTCCCTGTTCACCACCCGGAATGTCCCCAGCAATCAAACCCATCAACACCATTCGATACATATGATTAGCAATAGTAGTAGCAATTTAATCCTTTTTTTTTATCCCTTGTAATATAATTGTGTATATATGGTAATTATACTAAGAGAAGTGTTTATGTATGTAATACAGGTGACAAAAAATAGCAAATTATTTGTAGAGAACACGACAGATAGGCTAAAGCGGTTTGTCAAGGCATTTTGTGCTAAAGATGATGTATCTTCTCAAGCATTAATCTCTCAAACAAGGTGTTTGGCTGGTAAAGCCAAGAAATTTATCCAGTGCATTAAATAAAAAAAAACAAATGTCTCAGGAGAGGAATTAAAATTAGGCTCACCTCAGTTTCTTTCTAAAGTGGAGTAAGAGCTGTCACAAGAGATCTGGCATTAGGCCTTTCACGAGCTTCATACTGCAAGCAACGTGATGCTAATCGTACTAATTCAGTTCCATCATCATTTGAAAAATGGCCCTCTAAATAGAGTCGATCAACATCAAAAAGTTTTTTCCACGTATGAGATCAAGTGCCTGGGAAAATCAAGAGAATTCTGAGTTAAAATCTTTTGTATTGTGTTCCCAAAACATCTGATAACCATTTAGATTGGTGTGCCAAGACCTAAGGAAATTAGAGAGCCAAAGTGAGCTAAAGAGTTTACAAGATATATACTTTTTTGGGACAGAGGGGTAATTGGAAGGGTGGAGAGCGTGATATGATACTTAACATATTTCGTAGTTTGACAAAACTTAATATCCAAATCCAATTTCTAAAGTATTGCAAACTTTAAATCATTCATGGGAATGTAAAAAGCTAAGCCAACTCCAATAAGAGGACTTACAATTTAGCCCTATAATTCTTTCATGAAAGATTTTTGATGTGTCTAATAAAAACCAAATCTCAAGGATATTTGGATACTAATATATGAGTTCTCAAGGATTCTTAGATGCTTGTTTCTTTCTAGTTCAAGTGGAGTTACTGGAGTAGCACACTGAATATAGAGGTTAATGAAGCATTAAGAGGGTAAAACATGACATGACACACTGAAAGTTGTATGAAAATTTGAAGTTTACATGGCTTGGCGGTATATGTTTCCCACTGAGCAGGTCAAGCAGTAAGGTGCCAAAACTGTAGATCACGCTCTCTGGAGAAATTCGACCTGCCAATTAGAAAGCAGGGCATTAGCTTCCTAGAGAAAGCATGCTTTCAGAAATTAGCAGCTCCATTGCAACAGCTTTATAACGTTCTCTGCACACATAACTAGAGAGAGACCTTCATCATTGAATATGCAATCAGCAAGGAGAACAGGACAAGTCAATATTGTCATGTATACCATTCAGCATAGTCTATATTTACGGCAAAATGAATCATTTAGGAAGGGCCAGGTACCTGTCCTCATGTACTCATGAGGAGTGAAAGCCAAATTTGTACTATAGCTTTTGCCATCTCGGCTGTTTTTCATGAGGCCAAAGCAAGAGAGCCTGGGATTACCATCCTGTCAAAAGCCGAGTCACGACATAGAGTATATGGAGAAAAGGATAGAGACAAGAGAAAAAAATACAAGTTCAATTGTACCTGGTGAAATAGAACTCTATAAGCATTAAGGTGGGGGTGGTACAATGATCTTCCTTTACTGCTACAATATTCCAAGGCTTGTGCTAAACACAATGCCACTCTCAACCTCATAGCCCATTTCAAAGGCTGATTTTCCCCTGAAGTAAATAAACAATTTGAAACTTAAACCAAAATACAATAGCACCATCAACACAACAACTTCACCCATGAATCAAAGTCAACTACATGGAAACTATATCTACAAACGAGCTTTCCTAACCATTTAAGTCTCATAATGAACGTTGTAAAACTGATGTGCACAAACGTACCAAAACCAATCTTAATCAATTAAAAAAACCCTTAAAAAATATTTGAGAGTCCTAAGAAGATTACACCAATGATGTGGTGAAACCCTTTATTAAGAATACACTGGTTGTACATTGACTGTTGCTAACTCGGCACAAACAATTTAGATAGAACTTTTTCTTTTTTTTTTGGTAAATAAGAAATTTTATTACCAAAGAATAAAGAATACAACTTTACAGAATAGCAACCCTGTAAACTCCCAAACAACACAAGCCCTAAAGACAACCAAACTCCGAAAAAACAATCCCAAACTGTTAACCGGCCACCTTCTAGGAAGGGTACCTAAAAACCGAGAGGGAAAACACATTGGACTCAAGTAAACAGGCACCTTCTAGGAAGGATACTGAAAACAAGGACCAGGACAAACAAAAAAAAAAAAATAGCCGAACACCAATATAAACAAAATAGGTAAACAGCAAGACCAACTCAACTAAAACATAATGACCTCCTAAAAAAAAACAGCCTGTAAACAAACACCAAACGAAACGCAGCAAATAAAAACCAGCACCCAGCAAAACATGACAAAAAACAGCAGCAACCAGTTGAGCAGGACCACGCACAACAAGCTAATCAAAAGCATCAGCAAACAAAGTCAGCACAGGACTAGGAACACAGCTTGCACCAGCACCCTAGTAAACCAGCATCACAAGAACTCAGCTACACAGGAACACATCAGCTCCAATCCACATCACAACAACACAGAGCACTGCATAATCAGGAAGAACGAAAACACAGCAGCCAGACAGAAGCTCCCTACAGACCCCCAAAACACAGCCTGCACCAGCACCTCGACAACCCAGAAAACAAGAACTCAGCATCACAAGACCGCTGCAGCTCCAAGACACAACACAGCAACACACAACATTGCAACCCAGAAAAAACGAAAGCACAGCATCAGGCCAGAAACTCCCTGACAGAGACAAAAACTCCCTACAGGCCCTAACAGAGACAGAACCAGCCAGCAACACAATAAAAACAAAGACAAGCACACCCTACTTCACAGAAACGCAGAAACATAGCCCTAGCACTGCACCCAGCCTGCATCAGGAGCACAACAACCCAGCAACTCAAAAAGTCAGCAACACACATCAAAAAACAGCACTCAAGGCCCCAGCACAGAGACAGAAACACGAACAAAAATCAGCATATCCAGATAAGAACACGAGCAGGGATCAGCAGGTCTAGCTAAGGCAGCAGGCAGACAAACATCAGAAGATCAGCAAGCTTACCAGACAGCTTCAGAGACCATTTAAACACAAACAAAAACAGGACCAAAACTCCAGTAACAACCAGAACATCAAACACCAGGCATATTACACTTTAACAATTGCACCCACTTGCAATGATTCCTAGTCCAAGCCCTATCAATCAATTGCTGAATTCTCCCCATCACCTCCACACAAATTAACTTACATAATTTCATAGGAAGGATCACAGCCTTGTCGAAAACATTATACTTTCTCGAAAATTAATAATAGGCATAACCTCTAGCATCTTCAAGCAACGTACCATGGTAATCATACCTCATTGATTATTACATATCGAAAACACAAAAGCAATGCCTAATTCAACACGACACATACAAAGTCCCTTTGATAGAAAAATAACAAATGCATAGTCAAGGTCACAACATTTCAATCTTAAACAGAAAGTTATGAATTTAGATGACACTCACTGTGAAAGAGATGCTTAGAAAGTGTTTCATTGGCCATGAACTCAGCAACTAGCAATCTCTCATCACCCTCACAACAACACCCAACTAAATTTGCCATTTTCTCACTTCTCAGCAGCCCTACTGCTCTTGCTTCCTCCTACATTTTATATCAAAATCCAATCAAACAACCAACTATAAGATCATTTTGTACCATTTTTGCTACTAATAACTAACACATATATAAAACTATAAGAGCATTGGAAAAAATAGCCACTAACCTTTGAATTTGAACTCTTTTTTGAGGAGCAAACAAACTAGATCTACAATTCCTACAAATGATAGAATAAAAAATATTAAAATTAAAAAACTTAGGGTTTATGGTTAATTAATTGAAACTAAATTAAAAAAATAAGAAATAAAACCAGAACCCTAAGATTGCGAAGGAATTTAGTAGATTAAGAAGACCACATTACCTCGAAGCTGCTACAATGGAGGTGAGAAATAAAACAAGAACCCTAAAATTATGAAATTGAAAACCAAATCAACGACAAACCCTAGATTGCGAAGGAATTCAATAGATTAAGAAGACCACATTACCTCGAACCTGCTTCAATGGAGGTGAGAAAGCTCAGAATCGACTTCAATGGAGAATATAGAGCACGAGTTCAATGGAGGCCAGAGATATGGAGAGACAAGGAGGTGCTGCTTCAATGGAGTGAGAAAGCTCGTAAACCACTTCAATGGAGAAGGTGAAAATTCGGGATGGTGGAAGAGAAGGCGAAAACTAGAGGGAAAACAGAAGATGGAAAAAACGGGGGGAAAGAAAGAAAGAAAGAAAAGCAAGAGCCCGGTTTTTTTTTTTTTAATAATTTTTTAAGTGGGCACCGGTTTGAACCGGTGCTAATTAAATGATTGGCACCGGTTTTGGTTGGAACCGGTGCCAACACTGATTTTTTCAATCCCGCCCATTTCTTTTGGCACCGGTTTTCAAGAACCGGTGCTAAAGGGGGGGGGGGGTGCCTATTTCATTTTTTCTACTAGTGCATTGATCATCTACCCAATGACAAGTCACACATAAATAGTGATATTTATAACCACTATCCTAAGAATCGGCAGTCAAAGACACTCTACAATTAAGTTTTTACTCAATTCGTCTTGTAACCGCATTTTGTACTATAGGAAGTTTTTCATGGCGGCGGAACGAACGGTTTTCCTAAAGATTCTTTTATGTTGGGGTTGTAATGCTTTGTTAATGTAAGTGTTAGATGGATCACTTTCGGAGAAAAGAAAAGGTTGTTCGGCGTGTACTATCATTTTCCCTAGTCATCCCTATCCCTCTCATAGTTGTAGGTAAAGCCATGTGGATGGAATTGGGAAATTTTTGGCTGGGTTGGATCACTAGCTGGTTTTGCACAACTTCTCATGTGTCTACTTAAGTGTCCCGTCCCGGACTTGGATTGTGCCGAGTATAATTGACCACATGTTCTACATTTTGCTCTTGTTTGGTTTTTATTTAGGAGGAAATAACGCCATACCTCACTTTTGCGGCTTTTGATATGTACCATCTCACTTTCGGTTAACCATTCCTCATGTGTGTTTGGGAATTGGGTGTTTGTAGAATCGGGGATTTGTTGGTTAGTAGTAGAACCGGAGGCATTTAGGGTATCTTGTTGGCTACCTTGGCTAGAATAAAAATTTTGTGGGTCAAAGAAATTAGGTGGGAATTGACCGAATTGTGGAAATTGGTTTGGTGGTGGAAATTGGTTTGGTGGTGGAAATCCGGGCATATTATTCATGTTATAGGGTTGAAAACCGGAAGTACCATCGTGCCTAATTGGTCAAAGCCTAGAGGGACGTTACCGGGGTCATTGGTTGGAATGGATAGAATCGGAATTTGGGGGCTCGTTGGATTAGGTGATTCCCTAGAACTACTACCACGGACAAGTCGGGCTTTCCCCCTAGATGATGGGTTGTTCGATGCCATAATTAACAATAATAATTTTAATAATAACTAATTAACAATAATAATAATTAATAACAACAATTTTAACAATAATAATAACAATAATTATAACAATAACAATTACAACAATAATAATTAATAACAATAACAACAATAATAAATTAAAGATTAGTTTAGATCTTACAACCGTGCTTCAACGCTTTCCACTAATTACGATTACGAACTTTTAATTTTTTTCGATATTAAGAAATAATAATTAGAGAATTTAAGAGAATTATTAGAAAATATAAGAGATTAAGGATTATTAGAGTTAAGAGAAGAGATTGTGAATTTGTGATTTGGGAAGTGAATGAAATTTGGTATTTATAGGGAATTTGGGAAAAACTAGTCGTTAATGGCCGTTAGAAACAAAGGGGGGCAAGTGGGCAACGGCATTGTAGCCGTTGGCATGCAGGTCGTGCCTGCGGGCCGGCACGCGGGCTCGTGCCGTGCCGTGCTGGAAAAGCAGGACCCTTGTTCGTGACACAGCCCACGGCCCACCGGCGTGTCACCGTGCAGTGCCGGGCCACCACCTCGGGCCGTGCCATGCCCCGCCAAAAATCGTGCTGTGCCGAGCCGCCCGCAGGCCAGCCCGGCCCGTGCCCACCTTTACTTTTAGCTTTTCTATTATAACCTGTACGAATACTTATGTTCAAAATGGAAAAGATGAAAAAGGATAAATTAGTCAACACCAAGCCCAAAAAGCTCTATACTTCCTAAGCCCAAACAAAATCAAGCCCATAAAAAATCATTTAGCTCTATAAATACAGAAGTCACCCTCTCAATTCTGTCATCTGCAATTCAAAAAACCAACCGTAGAGAGTGTTGCCACCTCAAACAATTGCCACCATTACGAAAACCAAAATACATGCTAAATACCACAAACCCTCAATGCCGAAAACCACCATCAACCACCACCGCAAAATCAAACGCTGCAATTCCAGCAACAACGCAAGAAACTGGGCAGATCTTCCCAAAGAATTGCTCGAGAAAATCGGAGAACATCTCAATTCTCGAATCGACGTTTTCCGTTACAGAGCTGTTTGCTCTTCATGGAGGTCCGCCATTTCTCTTTCTCCTTCTTCGTATATCAATGATTTCACATTTCCTTTCATTGTTTGTCGTCTTGAACATAGTCGTCGTAGTTGTTTGGTTAAGCTTATCGAAACGAACCAGGGTGGGTTCAAGGTGTTGAACCCTTTAACTATTCCTAAAGCGGAGTTCATTTGTGGTAAGAGTCTGAATTTGTTGGATTGTCGATTGATTGAATTGGGGGAAGGTTTGCATTTTGATTCGAGTATTGATTATGGTGAATTGAATGTGAAGAAAGCTGTTTTGTTTCGTGGGTTTGGGATTGTTGCTATTTATGATTATGTGAAATTAGGGTTTAGGGGTTTTGGGGATGATAATTGGACCAATTTGGGTAATAATTCGAAAATTCTGTTTACGGATATAGTATTATGTCAGGGTGAAGTTTATGTGATGGATAAAAATGGGAATGTGTATTGGATTGATAAGTTTATGAATGTTGTTAAGTATTTGCCCCGGCTTAATTTGTCGGGGCAACAAAAGAATTTAGTTGAATCTGAAGGGCAATTGTACGTAGTTGACACATATAGTCGTCTGTGGACGGAGTTTGATGAATTTGGGGAGCTTTTTGATAGTGGTACTGAAAAGGTTGATATGAAGGTATACAAGTTGGATGATAAATGGGGGATATGGGTTCAGGTTACTTCGTTGAATGATCGAGTTTTTGTTCTAGGAGAAGATGTTTGTTTCTCTGTTTCGGTTAATGATTTCCCCGGTTGTGAGGGAAATTGCATATATTTCATTGATCGTCTATCTGTGAGGGATGCTGCGTTTTCACATAGGCTTGTAAGATATCATGATGCTAAAATCGGATACTATGTCCCTCGTGTTTTGAAATTGGATGATCGCGTCATGAGAGATATTCAAGTGTCATCACCTAGCCTCAAGCGATTGTTCTCTCCACCCAAGGATTGTTTTTGCTCAACCCTATCCTGCCCCTGATACCAAATGGTAACATTGCACTGTATATACAAGTATTATATTTTCGTTTTGTTTCGTTGAACTAATATGATATATCGGTGCTTCTGTATCCAATGAGGGAGAATCTGCTGCTTTTTGGCATAAGAGTATTGCTGCTGGATATTTGAGCTCTCTAGAAGAAATTGTAACTCAATCTGGTCGTAGTGATCTTGGTGAAATGTAGTCCTTCAAGTTAGTTGTTATTTTTACAGTTTAATTTAGTGGGAATAGGTTGATTAAAAGGGAAAAAAACTTGATCTTGTATATATTTATGCTAAAGCTTTTGAAAGAACCCGGAATCAGCACATTAGTGATACTTTGAGCTTTGTAGTGCTGGGTTCCTAAAGATATGATGGCTGTTGCAAGAAATGTGAGATTGTATATAATGGTCTGTTTGGATTTATGAAATCCTGGAATTGGGCTAAATAGGCTGTTTGGATAACTCAAGAATTTGGAATTGTAATTAGCCCAAATCCAAGCCCTTACAAACATAACTGTAGCTTTAAGAATTTGAAATTCTAATACAGTTGACGTAATTTGAAATTCTTGTTTCTCTCGCCACCACTACCCTCAACTATCACAGCACTCTTCTACCACGATTCTCCCTTCTCCACCATGGCACCGTTGCTTAAATACTTCAACCACCGTCACTTAAACACCATTGCAATGCCACCTAAGCCACCTCCGCCGTCACAATCATTCTAATAATCAATTGGGGAAAAAATTAGGGTTTATAGTCTTAAGTAGAAGCTTTGATTTTGGTTTCACATAAAACAATCAAACTGCAATTTTAATAATAAACTAGATAACACTAAATATAATAGCATAAAATTGTTTTTTTTTTTGGAAGAAATTGACGCTAAAAGAATATTCCAAAACTTTAAATTGATAGTTAGTACAATTATAATTAGTCAATTTTGTTTGTTAATTTTTATTTTTATTTATTTATTTTTTTTTTTTTTTTTTGTTCCTTCAATTAAAAATTATCCACTGATTATAAATTTACCTTTTCAATGTTTGATTACTCTACATATCTGTAGAAAATCTATTCTTCTTCATACATCAGATGGAATTTGAAATCCAGGAATTGAAATTCTACTATTTTCCAAACAAATATTTTGGAATTGAATTCTAAGCATTCAAATTATGAGATTGAAATCTTTCATTTGAAATGAACTGAGTATATCCAAACACAACCTAATGTAATAGTAAGATGCTTATGTTTAATGGTAAATGATTAAGTTTCTTTTCTGACTTAAGTGCAAATTTTAACACATAAAACGAGATATTTACGTTGTTTTTTTTTTATTGTTTGAGAATTTTTTTTTTTCGACAATGTATCAGCATACAAAGTAAGACATTTTTTGACACATAAAACGAGATATTGTCGGTTTTTTTTCTTCACAATTTCGAGCTCAATTTGGCTATTCAAGAGTCAAAATGACCCTAAAATACAAACAAATTGATTTCAGGGCTTGTTTGGTTGGATGCAGGAAGTGGAAATTCCCATGAAAACTCAATGCCCATGAAAATGTAATTCCTATGAATGGCCAAATATTGTTTGGTTGGATGTGGGAATTTCTACTTCCCATGGGAAGTTTCATTTACCTAGGGGGGGGGGGATGCTAGGTAAGTTAATTCCCCTATTTTGTGGGAAGCAGAAGTCCCACTTCCTACATTATTGTTAATCAAACAAGTATACATATATTTATTTCCTAGGTAAATAAACTTCCCATGAATTTGTTAGGCAACCAACAAGTGCTTAGACATGCAAATCAAGGAAAAAAGGTGGGGAGTGGAGCCAACTGACGGTTTCTTTGGCGAAAAACTTTATTTATTATTATTTTTTTTAATAAAGATAGTTAAATTTATAAAAAGTGTGGTAATTAATTGTAAAAGAAAGATAGTATGGTTAATAGTTTATTATAAAGGAAAAATTGAAATTAAAAATCCAACCTTTGCACTTTCTTCCCTTAAAAATCCAACCTTTTATATATCAGAGAAAAATCCAACCCTTACCCCCTATCTTCATCTAAAAATCCATTTGACCTTTAACCTATTAAACAGGTTAATATTTTTTTTTTTTAAATTCTCTCACTTTCCCTTCTCACTCCTCCTCTTTCTCTCTCCTCTCTCCTACACAACAACCCATCACAACAACACCCAATTACATCAGCCTGTGCCGCCACCGTCATCAACCAGCCATCTACTTCCATCATAGCCGCATCAACACCTCGCAGCCCCAGCTCGCCTCCCCACCTAACCAACTCCCAATCGTCACCACCTCAACTGCCACCCTACCAAATAAAACCAAACCACCACCACCTCACCTTCACCCCAAGCCGAAACCACCAAATCACCCCCAACCACTTCTAAGACTACAACCCCCACTCCCCCCACAAAACCCACCACCTATAACCCCACAAAACCCACAAATATCCCACAAAACCCACCACCTACAAACCCACAAAACCCACTACCAAATTGAGCACAAATTAGCGGTGTGGTGAGTGACATTTATGTCACTCCTAGGGTAGTCTTTTCTAGTAGTTTTAGCAATAATTTGGTTCATTCTAGTGTGCTTTTGTTATGTTTTGCCTAATTTAAGTAATCTACCTATGTGTTGTGCAATGTGTTTTTATATGGTCTTAGGTAGTCTTTACTCCCCTCCTTCGTTGTATTACACTTTGCCATCCTATTTCATAATTGCAAATTATTGCTGGTGGTTCGGATTGAGAAGGAACTAGAGCAAGGATCGAAGATATTGCACCAGCGGTTTGGCGCGGGCGAGCAACACCAGCAGCGGTCGCGCCACTTTTGGAGCAGGCGCGCCTCTTCCTGGCGCGGGCGCACGATGAGCTGGCCCAATCCCTTGATACCCATTTTGGAGTGGGCGCGCTTAATCTGGAGTGGCTGCGCCACCATCTAGAGCGCGGGCGCGCCGTTGTTCAGCGCGGGCGCGCCTGTCTGCTGCGATCCGTAACCTAAAATCTGATTAAAATAGCAAGGAAGAGGGAGAGAGGGTGGAGATTTTTTAGAATAGTTTTCAGCAAAAAAAAACTCTCTCTCTTAGTTAGCAACTTCATTAAATTAGTTGATTTAGTTTTAGAAATTTTAAAATCTAATCATTGTAGAAGCAAATTTCAAGATTCATCTTAAGAATTTCAGCAATTATCCAACATTTGTGAAGCTTCAATAGTAACTTCTTTCATTTGTCTTTCATTATTTTCTGATTTAATTTTTGTATTGTAAGTCACTTGATTCTCTCTCAATCTTGATATATTGTTGTTGCATGTTAGCTTTGTCCTTAGATAATCACCTTTTCCCCAATTTTAGAATTACTTATAATCCAAACTTGGAATTTGCACGTTACTCACAATGAATTGTGAGTAGTCCTCTTGGCTAGGGGTTGGGTGAAACTCAACCTATTGGTGATTATGTGAGTATGGGAGTGATTTTGATGATGGATTGCGACTAAATTTGATTATATGGGATTGCTTGTTAGTTCTTCATGATAGGAGTAATTAACCTAGATTATTGAACTTGATGGCATGAAATGTTTGGTTCGACATGAAAATGTGACTTGAATGTTTCATTACCTATTGCAATATGATTATGTGTCTCTTGTTGCTAAGTTAATGAGGGATCTAAGCTTAGTAATTCGAGTTGTTCTCATATCGTTTGATGTTGGTCTTGCATGTGGTCTTTGCTATTCCATTATCCTTATTCCTCCCTACTTGCCTAATTGCTATTGGTTGAGTGAATCCCATTCCCCTAGTGTTCTTAATCCCTTGAATTCAACCCTTAGTTGTAGTTTGTTAGTTAATCACCTCTCATACCTTGATTTCGATTTAGCTTGAGCGTTAAGATTATTTAGCAATTGATTCCCGTTCTCCGTGGACCGAACCCTTGCTTGCCATTGTACTTGTTTGAGTGAGGTGTTTGTTATAAATTTGTTTGAATGAGCCTAAATTGTGCGACCGATTTAGTGCTCGTCAAAATGGCGCCGTTGCCGGGGACCGGCGTTGTTGATTGCTATTTGATTGCTTGAGTCTAATTCATTATAAAAAAAAACACAAAGAGAGTTGTTTTCCTTTTCGGCTACGTTTGTAGCCTTGCTACTAATTGTGTTTGTTGAGTGCGTATGCGTAGGACTCAACATCGTGGGTTGGTGCCTTACGATCCCGAGATTGAGCAAACCTTTAAAAGAAGAAGGAGATCTCGTTCGCGGTCCTCTACTTCCCCAAGAAGAGAGTCCAACCCGGAACCACAAAGAAATCCAATGGGTGACAACCCACCACCACCACCTCCACCTCCAAGACCTTTGAAGGAGATGGGAACTCCAAGAGCTTATAGAGCTTCAAGTGGGATTGCTCCCCCAAACACCCCGGCCAATGACTTCGAGATTAGGCCCGCAATGATAAATTTGATTGAGAGGAGACAATTTAGTGGAGCAAAACACGAGAGCCCTCTTGCACATTTGAACGAGTTTGAGAAATATTGCAACACAATCAAGGTAAATGGGGTTATTCAAGAGTTTGTGAGACTAAAATTATTTCCTTTCTCCTTGATAGGAAGGGCTCTCGAATGGCTTGAAAAGGAGGTGAGACCCAATTCTTTGAGGACTAGGGATGAGGTCACCACAACTTTCTTAGGGTGATTTTACTCTCAAAAGAAAACAGGCGAGGCAAGAGCTCTAATTCAAGGTTTTCGGCAAAGGGGTAGTGAGACTATCTATGAAGCTTGGGAGAGGTACAAGGAGTACCAAAGAGAGTGCCCTCACCATGGAATCCCAACATACCAAGTTTTACAAATCTTCTACGGAGGCTTGAGTCCTCAAGGCAAAACAAGCTTGGATGCGGGAGCCGGTGGGCCAATCATGAATTAAACCGAAGATCAAGTGATTGAGATCATTGAAGATGTGGTAAGGCACCACATGGATTGGCAAGAAAATGAAAGAGAATCCACAAGCAAGAGTGGGGGGGCGGCCTATTCGGTAGATCACCTCAATGCTATAAACAACTTGACATCCCAAATTACAAATCTTGGAAAGGAGATGTCATCGATCAAAGTTAAGCTTGAGTCCTCTACTTCGCGCCAAGATCTTTCCTCCCAATCTAAGGGGAGAGGTATGAGTTCTAACCCTTCTACTTCTACATCTAATAACATTCCCAGTGGATGCTTATTTTGTGATAATTGTGGGTCTTATGACCATGATACATCTTCTTGTAATTTTGATTCCCAATCCCAACCCCTTAATGATGATGGTAATGAGTATGAAAATGAACATGTCAATGCCTTGTCTTATGATAATAGACCTAGGAATGACAACCAACGATACTTACCACCTAATCAAAGAGGGCAAGGGAATAATTTCAATCAAAGAGGAAATGATTATGATTACCACAACCACAACCAATGGGGTGGTAGAAACCAAAGGAACCAAAATCCCCAAGGTAACTACAACCAACAAAGTGGTTATGGTAACCATAACCATAACAATCAAGGAAACTAAGGAAATCAAGGCCAATACCACCAAGGGGGGAGTTCTAATAACCGGAACGATTGGAATAATAATGGTAATAGAGGCTTTAACAACCAAAATGCTAATTCCAATGTGAGAGGTCCTAGAGCACAACAAGACAATTGTTACACTCAACCACCTCCACAAAAGTCTAGCCTAGAAGAGATGATGGAAAGCCAAGCCAAAATGTTTAATACCTTCATGGCCACTAGTGACAAGAAATTCAATGAGGTTATGACTCACAACAAAATGCTAGAAACCCAAATCTCTCAATTAGCCAATGCCATTAAAGAGGGAACTAGCACTTCTAAACTTCCACCCAAGGGATTGACCCCAAGAGACCGGTGAATGCCATTTCTACTAGGAGTGGGAAGTTGTTGAAGGAGAGTGAGCCAAAGAAAACCAATGAGAGAGTGACCGTGAATGAGCCCTCCCTTGAAAGTGAGTTTGAGCAAGAAGATGAGAGAAGTTGTGAAAACGAAAAAAGTGATGAAGTTGAAAAAGAAGTTGGAGTTGAAAATAAATGAGAGATTGAAAATGAAAAGAGAGTTCAAAAAGAGAAAGAGAAAGAGAAGGAACCAACACAATTGCAAAAACTTCCATATCCTCATAAGTTTTTGAGACACAAGCTAGATGTGCAATTTGGTAAGTTCCTAGAAACCTTGAAACAAGTCCACCTCTCAATACCCTTTACCGACGCCATAAAACAAATGCCCAATTATGCTAGGTTTCTAAAGGATATTGTGAGTGGAAGGAGAAGTTGTGATGTTGTTGAAACGGTAAACCTCACCGAAAGTTGTAGTGCTATCATAATGAACAAGATGCCTCCAAAGTTAGGAAATCCGGGTAACTTTTCCATTCCTTGTGCAATAAATCGAATTCAAATTGACAATGCTTTATGTGACTTAGGGGCTAGTGTTAGCCTTATGCCATATACGGTTTACCAAAGACTTGATATAGGGGAGCTTTTGCCTACCAACATTACCCTTCAATTAGCGGATAGATCAATCAAATTTCCTAAGGGTAAGGTAAAGGATGTTCCTCTAAGGGTTGGAAAGTTTGTTATACCGGTTGATTTTGTTGTTCTTGACATGGATGAGGATGTGCATATTCCTATCATTCTAGGGAGACCTTTTCTAGCTACCTCCGGTGCTTTGATTGATGTGAAAAGTGCTAAAATTACACTCAAAGTAGGTGAAGAGGTTCTTGAGTTTGATTTGAATGCAAGCATGAAATATCCTAGTTCTACTTTAGAAAAATGCATGAAAATTGACACCATTGATTGTGTTGTGAATTCTATGCATGAGCACTTGCTCTCTACTAACAATGCCCTTGAGAGTGTCTTGTTAAACAAGGAAAAGATAGGTGATCAAAGCAAGGAAATGGCGTTGTATGAAGAGTTGCTTGATGAGAATGTTGAAGGAAAGGTTGAGCAAGCTTGCATGGGAATCACACTTAAACATGCTATGGAGATTTCCCCTACAATGGAAGGTAAGGGTGTGCCTATGGTAGAGCTAAAACCTTTACCATCACACCTTAGGTATGAATTTCTTGGACCCAATTCCACGTTTCCCGTTATTGTGAATGTATCTTTGAATGAACACCAAACTCGAATGTTATGTGGTGTGTTAAGAAACCACCAAAATGCCTTGGGCTATACCCTTGATAATCTCAAGGGTATTAGTCCCGCTATTTGCATGCACCACATAACATTAGAGAAGGGTGCAAAGCCCTCTATTGAGAGGCAGAGAAAACTCAACCCTCAAATGGGGGAGGTGGTGAAGAAAGAAATCACCAAACTCCTAGATGCCGGCATCATCTTTCCCATTTCGAGCTCAAGGTGGGTTTCCCCCGTGCATGTTGTTCCTAAGAAAGAGGGCATGACCATAGTTGAGAATGAGAATGGTGACCTCATCTCAACTAGGACCGTGACCGGTTGGCGGATGTGCATAGACTATAGACGTCTAAACGCATCTACCAAAAAGGATCATTTCCCTCTCCACTTTATAGATCAAATGCTTGAAAGACTAACTAGGCACAAGTATTATTGCTTTCTCGACGGTTATTCGGGTTTCTTCCAAATTCCCATAAACCCGGATGACCAAGAGAAAACAACCTTTACTTGCCCATATGGTACTTTTGCTTACGGGAGAATGCCATTTGGTCTATGTAATGCACCCACGACGTTTCAAAGATGCATGATGAGCATATTTGGTGACATGCTCGAAGAGGAGATGGAGGTATTCATGGATGATTTTTCGGTTGGTGGCCTTTCATTTGAGGATTGCTTGACAAATTTAGGCAAGTGCTTGGCAAGATGCGAAAAAGTCAATTTGGTCTTGAATTGGGAGAAGTGCCACTTTATGGTTGAGGAAGGAATTGTCCTTGGGCATAAGATCTCCAACAGAGGAATTGAGGTTGACAAAGCCAAGGTTGAAGTAATCGAGAAGCTACACCCCCTATCAACGTGAAGGGAGTAAGATCATTTCTTGGGCATGCGGGGTTTTATAGAAGGTTTATCAAAGACTTCTCATTAATTGCTAGGCCCCTTAATACTCTTCTTCAAAAGGAGGCTGATTTCGTGTTTAATGAAGAGTGCCTCAATGCTTTCAACAAGTTAAAGCAAGCTTTGATTTCTACTCCTATTGTGCAAGGGCTAAGATGGGATTTGCCCTTTGAGCTTATGTGTGATGCTAGTGATGTAGCTATTGGGGGTGTGCTTGGACAAAGAGTTGAAAAGAGACTTTATGTGATCTACTATATGTCCAAGACCTTGAACGAAGCCCAACGCAACTACACCACAACGGAAAAGGAGTTTCTTGCAGTGCACTATAAAAAAATGAAGAATAGGCAACACGTAAAATTGCAACACTATTAAAATTGTTTCCCTTGATTGAGCATGTAAGGCAACAATTCATATATGTTACTTTGAATTAGAACAATCAATACTAGATTGCTAGGAAACATTTATAAAAGTGTTGTTGTAGACCATATAAGGCAACATTTGCTTAAAGTGTTGCCTTTCTAATATCTAAGGCAACATTCACAAAAAAATGTTGCCTGAAAAGATAACAAAAACAAGATTGTTGTTATGTATTATAACACTTATAATTACGTTGCCATCTATAATAACAATTTAAAAAAATAAGGCAATATATAATATGTGATGTTGTCTATAATGTGTGGGAGAATGATTATATGGATATAATCTTAGATTAAATGTTCATTCAAAGAAGTTGTTTTAAAATAAATGAACACATATTTTGGCTTCAAATATTTTGTGCATATTATTTTTCACAATAAATTTTCTATTAAGAAAAAATATAGCAAAAACCTCCTATAGTTTAAAGGATCATCACAGTAATTATACAAAATAGTATATTATAAAACTGTGCATCACAAGGTTGAATTAAATCTAGTAATTACATTTTTATTTTTATTTTGTCAAGATCGAGTAACATTGGGAGCTCTATCAATTAAAATTGAAATCTATGTTCTACAAAATTAAAAGATTATAATATGTGTATTATCTATTTTTTATTTATTTAAAATACAACACAATGAGCGGGTTTAAATAATTTAAGAGCAGGTCGTCGAGTTACTTCGAGTTCAAACTTGATTAGTTCAAATTGTTTACAGTTCGATTTGATAATGGGTACGAGTCATTAACGATTCAATACATTTGGTTCAATTTAACTTCGAGGGAGTTTTTTTTTCCAATAAAGATTTTATAAAAAAAAGTTACGTACAGAGTATATAAAATGATAGTTAGAGATTACAAAAAAAATTTATTTCCTCCGTTCTCCTAAGTGCTACTCACTTATATCATCTTTTTCTTATATATACACAATAATATATTGTATGCGGTTGGTTATACCATATGACCGTTTGTAAAATAACAAAGTAACTCCTATAAAACTAATCGAGTAGTCCTATAATACTACTCGAGTAACACCTATAATGAACACTGATTGAGTAAACCTCATATGTGGCCGGCCACATAACCTCACTTAGGAAAACGGACGTAGTTCTAAATATTATATCCGAAGTAAAAAAAAAATTGTTCATTGTACGGATTTATCTAGTATACTTTATTATGTAATTCATTGAGGTACTTCTCATTAAAATTTTATTTGTGATAGTTTCTTTTGTAAAAATTAAAAGAATATTTTAGTAAACTTAATGCCCACAAATTTATGTTGACAATTTTGGGAAAAACTTGTATATTAGGAGGACAGGATAAGAGAGAAATTAGACCTTTATCTCCAAAAAAATTATTTAATTAAAAAAAAGAGAGAGAGAGAGAGAAATATTATCAATCATATATTTCGGGGTAAATTCATCTGATATGTAAAACCGCGAAAATGGTAAAATAAAAAAAGCTTTGGCTCCAATATTTTCCCACTTAAAATCAGTTACTTATCAGTATCAACTCACTTCACTGCGTCTCACATTCTCACAGGCTGCATCACACTCATATTAACCTCAATTGTCAGTTTCTCAAAGGTATCTCTTTTTACCCTTCATTTTTACCAAATTATGAAATTACTTTGTTTTTCTTGGTTAATTCTATTTAATTTTTTTTTTTATGGGAGTGCTATTGGTATAGATTTGTCGATTAGGGATTAAATTTTCTCACTTGTCTCCAGCGTCTCTCACTCTAAATCCGATTCTGGCTCCCTCAATTTATACAAGAAGTATCTATTGATCTATTAATTTATAGTGGTTATCTCATCCTATATATCAAGGTTAGAATTTTATTATTTTCTCTAAGTTTGTCAATTTTATTGGAATTGGAGTTTGTTTTACTTAATAAATTTAATTCATTATGATTGGCGTGTGAACATGTTGAATTTCAATGTATATAGTCATATCCATACTGATCGATTTTTTACATGCATTTGATTTGGTTGAAGACCTGGAAGTATTTAAATAAGTTTTGGGTTTTTTTCTTCTTCATTATAATTATTGCTACAATGAATTTGTTTTCTATGCCCAATATAGATAGGCGGGATTCGGTTTAGTTTTATCGGCTATGGCTATAGTTTTCGAGGGTGCTGGACTTAATCCATCAATGAAGCAGTTAAGATTATAGCCAATGAGTAGGTCGGCTTGGTAGGATCGTCATGGTTGGGGATAATGTGTTGAGAATCCATAGAGAAGACAACCGAGTATAACAGGAGGAAAACAAAAAAAGATCAAGGCTTTGATATTATATAAGAGAATTTAGAGATAGTTGAAAGTTAGATATTCTCATTAACTTTAGCAAGTACTTTGTATTTATACAAGAAAGATTACAGTGGCTTAACTAATTTTGCTAAAAAAACTTAAGAGTAAGTGTAGGAGTTGTTACGCTAACTATTAAAACACTAAGTAAATGATAAACTTAAGAATAATATCGACAAGAGAAATTCAAGGAGAAAATTGAGTGTGTATTTTGACTTTATATGTAGTTAGATAATTCTGATATACATGAGTTATAACCATTAACATTGTCAAATTAAGGGAGCCGATAAGATAACAAAGCTAGCAACCGGGTTATTAGATATCTTGTTTTGTTCGAACTTATTGAATGATGACAGATCACCTTAATAATTTTATAACTAATATAGGATCTTCTGTAGAACAGGCATTGAGTTATAATATGTCTTAACTTAGCTATTTATAGGTTCCAAATGTTGTTTTTATTAGTGTTTGAAAATATTGAAAACTTGTATTCACAATTATAAGAGTGAACAACATACTTTTGTTTTGTTTTCAGCATGACAAGAAAAAGTCTTAGTTTTAGAAAGAACATTTAAGATGAAGTGAAACATACACACTATACTACGTACTCTTGTGAAAGTTAAATTGAAGAGCATAATAGTTGTCTATGGTTGTCATAAATTAGAGGATTTGTTACTTATTGAATAATTTGATTACGACTAAGTTAGGAATATATTCTTTTATTTATGCATCTCTATGATTCTATGCTAGTGTTATTAGCATTCTTCATATAAATGTTTCTGCGGTTCTTTTAGGTGATTGATGTTCAAGTTAAGGTGGGAATCAACCAATTAATAAACTAATGACCTCATTAGTGTGATGATTAATTTTTTTTTTTATTCCTGATATTTTTGGAGATGAATAGATGTTTGACATATAATTTTTGGTATGTATAAATGAATTTGCTGTGAGGCTCTGGTTGAATGGTCATTTGGCCGGGCACTCATCTTTATGCTTAGTAGAATATAAGTTCATCTTGACCTTAATTACAATTTCCTAATGATTCAAGTAGCTAGTAAAAATAAAATTTTGTATCATCATTTTTATAATAAAAAGCCATGGTGGATGACATGGATCTGATACATATAAATCTCTGAAGCCCATTTTTTTTTTATCAATGATGTTACATCATCAATTGGCCTTGAAAAAGCAAATATTATCTCGGATGTTGGAACTAGAAACGACCCTAGGTATAGTTTAACTAACCCCATACTATGTCAGCCCCAATAATTTTAAGAATAAATGCTTTCATTAACAATTGATATACATTTATTAAAGTATGTATGATATTAGATAATATTGTTCATTAAGAATTGATATACATTTATTAAAGTATGTATGTTATTAGATAATATTGAAATATCAAAATTGATCCAATGATTATGCTGATGATCCGATAATGATAATAGATGCTTAGATTAGCCTGATGATCTGATAAAGTGTAGTGCTATCCACTTGTCTTATTAATATGGCAATTTGCATTTACACTCATAGGACTTATTACTGAAAATGTCCATTTTGAATTGAGAAACTAGCTAGCTTGTATTTTCTAAGTTAATTGTTATTTATCATTTTAAATTTGGATACGCTTCACTGCTTTTTTTTACATGTTTTAGGCTACATATTGGCCAACTTTGGCTAGTCTAACAATTTAAAAAGAAAATCTTAGCCATTTGAAGTAGAATCTAAGTGTCTAACCGGCTTGCAATCCAAGTCCATATTCTAAATAAAATTCCACAGAGAGTAACTGGCTTGCATTCCAAGTTTTGCTCGAAAATTTAATGAAGTGAGCATAACTAAGCTGGGTCCTAAAGGCTCCAAACTTTACTTACAATTCTAATTTTGAACATATATGTTAACCCTTGAACAATTGAGTTGAGGACTATTAGTGTTAAGATCAATTAAAAGTAGCTCGAGATTTGGGATGTGTGTTAAAAAATGTGTAGAACTACCCCTAGATTATTTTCTTGCCCAAGGCACCACCCATGGTTCCTGCTGCCTCTGGTGCCTGTTGTTGTACACTGTTGCTACTGGCGCTACCCACTACTAATCCTCTAAAATGCCAGCACCAACTCCTACACAAACCCCCTTCCTCTGCCTACATGCTGAATCTTAGAAGGCAGTTGAATTAGGACAATTAGTTGAAGACCATGGGTCTTGAATCCTAGGGCATCAGTTGGATTATGTCAAATGAGTTTAAATTTAAAATTCCTAAGTCAAATGACGAAGTCAAAGACAGTGTTCAAGTTGGAGATTGGAGTGATTTGAAGATTCTTTTGATATACATTGTCAAGGAGAATATACTTCAAAAAACTGGGGATTAGGGAAGAAAGGGAGGTTAAGAAATTAAATTTGGAAAAGAGCAAAATCGAGATATGTTGTCGATTGACTGAATAGCTATCTGATAACTTTTGGTATCGATTACTTGTTATTATTAAGTCGAGTGTATCAATAACCAAGGGTTTCTTTTAATTATGTGCCTTATCTGTTGAAGTTCGCTTCTTAGGCATGCCCATATGTTCCTCCCAAGATTTGTTGTTGTTTTCCACAGTCAAATTTAATTTTTTGATGAGTTCATTAGATATCTATATCCCTTTTTCTATTATATTAGACCAAACTAATAAGAAACTAATTTTTGAAGTGATGTTGCGTTGATGGTACTAGCTGTTGGATGAACCTAGATTCTAAGTTATTGGAAGTTTGCCCTCATTCACTCTTGTAATTTTTATTTTTTTTTCCTTATTACAGATATGCTGTACATATAAACATATCTATGAATTTTATACAGGGTACTTTGGGTGTTGTACAGTAAAGAGTCATTAACCTGTTTTGTGGTTTTTTTTTATTAGAGATTTGCTTTAGTACTATAGTTTCATGTTTTTACTGAAACTAATTTACAAGCACTTTATGCAAGAATTAAGAAGGTGAGGGCTTATTTGTCACAAAAAACCAAAAAAAAAAAAAAAAAGGTGGGGGCTGGGGGAGGGGGGAGATAATGAATTAGATGACAATTAAGCTTAATGACACTCAATATTACTAACCCTTCATATGATCCATAAATAGTAACCTGAACTAAGAGTAGAATTCAGGTAGGACCTAAAAATTGTTAGTCTTCAAAGGATTCTTGATCTTATAATTTGTTTTCTTTGTCGATGATCTTTGTTAATTTCACCAACAATTTGGGATACATACTATGCCTAAATTATGGGTCAGCCACATTTTTTTCTTTCTTTTTGTACATCCAAGGTTAAAATTTATGTTACTCCTCAAATCATGTTTATTAATTATATGTGGACATTTGGTTTAGAATGTTAGGTTTTATTCTGCTATACTTAGGACAAGATTGTTCTATGAATGCAATGATTCAATGTAGTGTGCAAATGACAAATTTTTATGGGAATCTAGCTTGTATTTTTGAGGTTTTTTTTTAATCATTTAAAATTTGGATCATCACTGCTTTTGCATGTTTTAGGCTGTATGTTTGTTAGCTTTGGCCTGTTATGATGTTTCAAATTAATACTCAGAGCATGGCAACTATGTACATCCAAAATATACTTATTCTACTCCTTTTCTTTTCTTTATTTATTTGTATAGGTATTAACAAAAAAGTAAGGAAGGGGAAGAAGAAAAAGAAGGCAACAAGTAAAACGAAGAATGTGATGACATTGATCAAATGGGATTTATTTTAGCTTCTCCATCGTTATTCCTCGTTTGGACATTATTTTTTTCTTCTATTTATTAGCTAGACTAATAGTATACTCATCAAGATGGATTTGGTATTGAAAATTAGTGGTTATTACTTTTGATTATATATTCACTATTTTTATTGGTTTGGGATTATCTATTCAAATGTTTATTATTTACTTGTCTTTTGTACTTAACATTTCTCTACTCTAATAACTTCACAAGAATGCAACGATATCTTTCCACTCCTTCAACTTATTATAGCAATATATAAATATTTACAATAGAAAAAAGTAACAATTTATTTTAGTTTGTTCAATTTGTAGGTAACATTTTCCAAGGCGTTGTCTTTAAGATATCTGGCAACACTTTTGTATTATTACTAGTAAATACAACAAGTGAAAAGGTTATTGCTTATTATGACTTAGGATGACAATTTTGAACTATTACCTAAGGTTGCAACAGTTTTTAGTTGTTGCCTTTGTAAAAGTGTTACCTTAGATACTATTTTACCTTGCCTTTTAAAAACGTTGCCTTTGGATAAAAATGTGTTGCCTTAAGAATAGACAACGGGGGCATAAACTACGCCTCATATGTGTTGCCTTAGCTACAAGGCAACACTTTTTTAGATTTAGGCAATGATTTTTCAATGTTACCTATGCTTCATTTTGTTGTAGTGGTGGTACACGCTTTTGAGAAGTTTTGGAACTACCTCATTGGTTCCAAAACTATTGTCTACATCGATAATGCGGCTATTAGGTACCTTGTGGCAAAGAAAGAGTCCAAGCCTCATCTTCTTCGTTGGGTGCTATCACTTCAACAATTCGATGTAGAGATCCAGGACAAAAGAGGGGCCGAAAATGTGGTTGCGGATCATCTATCCCGGTTAGAGAACGTGCAAGCCTATGATGATGGGGCTCCTATTTGCGATGAATTGAAGGATGATGTGCTCTATGTATTGAATAAAAAAGATCTTCCTTGGTTCGCCGACTTGGTGAATTATTTGGCATGTGGGGAATTTCCTCCCGATTCCTCCAAGAACCAAAGGAAGAAGCTCAAAAGAGATGCAAGACACTATATATGGGATGACCCCATTCTCTACAAGAGAGGAGTAGATGGTTTACTCCGTAGATGTGTCCCGGATGAAGAGATGCAAAATGTTTTGAAGATGTGCCATTCCGATCCTTGTGGAGGCCACATGGGGGCCAACAAAATAGCGTTGAAAGTGTTGCAAAGCGGCTTGTGGTGGCCTCATATATTCAAGGATGCTTGGGGGTTTGTAAAGACTTGTGATTCATGTCAAAGAACCGGCAATATAACAAGGAGAAATGAGATGCCGCAACAACCAATTCTTGAGCTTGAAGTTTTTGATGTGTGGGGCATCGACTTTATGGGACCATTTCCCTCATCTCATGGAAATCAATACATCCTTGTGGCGGTTGATTATGTTTCTAAATGGGTTGAAGCCATTGCCTCCCCAACTAATGACCACAAGGTAGTGATGAAGATGTTAAAAAAGGTGATATTTCCAAGATTTGGGATCCCTAGAGCAGTGGTTAGCGATAATGGTTCTCACTTTGTTCACAATGTTTTTCAAAGAATGTTGAGGAAGAATGGAGTTCATCAACGGTTCGGTTCGACCTATCACCCACAAACTAGTGGGCAAGCGGAGGTTTCCAATCGTCAAATCAAGGTGATTCTGGAGAAAACAGTGGCTAGAAATAGAAAAGATTGGTCGGACAAGCTAGTTGATGCCCTTTGAGCCTATAGAACCGCTTTCAAAACCCCCATTGGTACTACCCCCGATTGAACTTGAACACCGTGCTCAATGGGCTATCAAAAAGATCAACTTTGATTTGGCAAGTGCGGGTGAACAAAGGTGGCTAGATTTGCATGAGTTAGAGGAACTAAGGATGGATGCGTATGATTGTGCAAGCTTGTACAAAACCCGTTCAAAGGAGTGGCATGACCGACAAATCGGAAAGAAGACCTTCAATGTTGGTGATAAGGTGTTTCTTTACAATTCAAGGATGAAACTATTTCCCGGAAAACTCATGTCAAGGTGGAGTGGTCCTTTCACCGTTAAGGAGGTGTTCCCCCATGGAGCCGTTGAGCTCAATGATTTGGATGGAACGAGGTCATTCAAGGTCAATGGGCATCGCCTCAAGCTTTACTATGAGGGTGCTCATGTTGGTTTAATTGAAGTGTTGCAATGCAATCTCATCTTTTGAGAGTGAAGTACGTCAAGCTAGTGACGTTAAAGAAGCGCTTACGGGAAGCAACCCGGTTTCTAACCTTTTTTATTCTATTTTCTTCCAAACCGCTTAAATTAATCTCTCCAACACTTTTCTTGTATAATGTGATGTAGGTGTTGTCAAATGTGCTTTAGAGAAAAGAGAGGAGATGAAGCAAAAGTGATTTTTTTGAGAGCTAAAGGTCTTCTGAAGGCGCGGGCGCGTCCAATACAGTTCTGCTAATTGAAGAAAAGACAGTAGGGATCGCGGTTTGTGCGCGACAGAGGGGCGCCCGCGATCTTCTTCTAGCGCGGGCGCGCCATTTGGCGAGCGGCCACGCCTCATCAGGGGTCTTATAATGAAGTAAAAAAAAGCAAAAAGGTTCGCGGTTTGTGCGCGTCTAAGGAGAGAACGTGTTTCAACTGAGGCGCGGGCGTGCTTAATCAGGAGCGGGCGCGCCATTCATGGAGCCATAAATTTCAGTAAAAAAACAGAAGGGTGCGCGGTTTGTGCGCAACTGAGGAGAGATCGCGCATCTGTAGGTAGCGCGATCGCGCCTCTTCCCGTCGCGGGCGCGCCTGTAGATCTGAAGAAACTTTGTATAACCTCTCAGACAAACGTCGCGGGCGTGTGACCTTCAAGAGTAGGCGTACCTGTAAATGGCGCGGTCGCGCCTATGTTGGGAGCGGGCGCGCCTACTGAGTTCGTAAAAAAAAATAGAGTAAAAGAGCCCCTAAAATCCGAAACCCCCTATCTCTCCTCTCACTCTCAGAAAAATAAAACTCTCCTCTCACTCTCTCTCTAAAACTCAAAAAACCCTACCTTTTCCATCCTTCAAATCCACTTCCACCATCATCAACTCAAGTTTCAAAATCATTCTTCACCATCATCGCGGCCGCGCCATCATCATCTCACCACCGCGCCATCATCAACTTCTTCAAGTCCATAAAAACACCAAATTTTCGCACAAAAGGGATAGGTATTCGAATTCTTTGTTCTCTTTATATATTTTGGTTTGTTTGAAGAAAAGATTTTGGTTGCTTTTGGTTAGTATTGAAATACTGCTAATTATTTGTGAAGTTTTGTTGTCTATTATTGATTATTGCCGGATATTCTTGTTGCTCATTGAAAATTGTTGTTAGAATTGTAGACATATTTGGTTGTTGTTGGACTATTATTGTTATAAAGCAGGTACATTGTAGTTTGTGGAGGTTGTGGTTGGAATTAGCCGGAGTTGGCTTGTGTTAAAAAAGAGTGTAGTCATGAGTTCTTTTAGGATTGTGAAAAAGAGGAAAACCGCCAATTCGGGACAATCGTCCCAAAACCCTGATTCCAACACCCCAAGCACTCTTCCTATCCTAAAATTCAGCAACAAAAGCCATACCTCCATCTATAATGATATGAAAAAACGAAAATTCAGACCTTCAAGGCATTACCATAGAGGGGATATGGAGAAATTGGGAATAAATGATGACCTGTGGTTTCTTTTTGAGAATTTGAGGATGGGATCTTTTGTTAACTCCTCATTTACGACTTATTTAGAGCCCTGTTTGGAATTCTTCTCCTCCTTTTCTGTATATACCTTGGATCTGGATAATGATGTTTATAAGATTAAATTCCAACTTTTCAACACCCCACATGAGCTGAATTTAGAGCAATTCAACCAAGCCCTAGATTTCCACCCTGAAGGAGATATCTACCGCCCTCTTTATGAAAACTTTAGAGATTACAATGAGACTAGTTGGTGGCGTCACGTTTCTGGTAGGGATGAATTCACCACGAGGAAATCCATTTCCAGTGAGATGTACCACCCGGCCCTTAGGGTCTTGCACCGGTTGTTAGGATACTCAATTATTAGCAAGCAAGATCTAGGGAAGTTGACTAAAGAGGAGGTGTGTATTTTGTGGATAGCTTCTAGGAGAGAGCAACCCCGTAGGCTTAACTTGGGTTTTCTTTTCATGACCACCTGTGTAGCCATCGCTAAGGGTAAGAGGTCGGGAGACATACATTGCGGAGCAATGGTCACTACGTTGGCCATTAAGTTGGGGCACACCGATATGCTACCTCTTTGCACACTTGTGGGGAGTAGAGGTGACATTTACCTTGACCTAGAACAGCTTTGTAGGTCCGACTTTATCCTGCCAACCACTAACCCTACCTACTACAGTTGGCTTGTGAGAGGGGGACACCACTGCTTTCTTCCCAAACCCCACCTTACCTCCATCACCCGTGACACTGATTATGTGTGGAGAGTCCTGAGAGACAATGGGCGTGTACCCGATATAGAGGGAGAGGATGAGGCACAGGAGGAGTCGGAGGAGAGGCTTAGTAATGGGGGGCAGCAGCAGCAGGTGGGTGCTAAGAAACCCGCAGGTACAGGTACATTTCAGCTATCTGTTATAGCTAGCCAGTTGCAAGCAATTTATGAGTCACAGCAGGGCCATCATTTGCAACAGCAGGCCCTCTATGACTCAGCTATGGATAGAGGAGAGATTGCTCCCCTTGTGAACTACCCTAATTGGCCGCCTCAGCACGACCCTGTTCCTTCTTGGGGGGGGGGGGGCAATCTCCCCACTTACCCCTACTGGCAAGGTCTTTCTGAGCCTAGTAGGTAGCTCCACAGCTTCCCAGAGGATGGGCAATACGATTATCGTGTGCCCGGCGGGTGTGACTTTAGAGGGGACCCTGCTTACCCCTATGTGTATCCTGATCACCCCGCCCCTCTGTATTCCCAGTCTGAGGACACTCCCTCTGATCCTTTGCCCAGTTGGCAAGAGGATCTTTTCAGGGGGCACTACGGTTGGCCGCCGGGCTTTGACAATGGTTGGGGCCTTTTCGGCCCCCCTAGTGGCTTCACTTATGATAAGCCTGGCTCACCTAATGGGCCTAGCTCTAATGGCCAGTAGGCTACGTTCCTTGGGTACATCTCTCTCCCATGTTTTTGC